AATTCGGCTGTGTTACTGTAAGTATCTTCATCATTTTTATACTTTTCTGTAGTAACATCTCCGACTCAGCTTCATCTAATTTCGTGTCGCTAATCGAAGAGGATTCTGGTGCATCGTTCATTGTTGATGTATTCTGCTCGACTTTCTCAGTGTTTGAATTCGGTGGTGTCACTGTACTGTCGTCATCATTTTTATACTCTTTTATGATTACATCTTGCGTTTCTTCATCTAATTTCGTGTCGCTAATCGAAGAGGATTCTGGTGCATCGTTCATTGTTGATGTATTCTGCTCGACTTTCTCAGTGTTTGAATTCGGCGGCGTCACTGTACTGCTGTCATCATTTTTATACTCTTTCATGATTACATCTTGCGTTCCATCATCTAATTTTGTGTCACTGATCAAAGAGGATTCTGGTGCATCGTTCATTGTTGATGTATTCTGCTCGACTTCCTCAGTGGTTGAATTCAGCTGTGTCACTGTACTATCTTCATCATTTCTATACTTTTCTGTAGTAACATCCTGCTTTCCTTCATCGAATTTCGTGTCGCTGTTCGAGGAAAATTCTATATTACTTATTGTTGTCGGTGTCAAGTTGTTGGGTCCAACTGTTTCTGCGTTGGTATTCGATAATGTTACTGCCTCATCTTCATTATTTTTATGCATTATCTGTTCTGTAGTTACATCATGTGTATGTTTATCTAATTTTGCTGACGTGAAGTCGACGGGAGAGGACTGTGAAGTATCAGTGGTTTCACTATCAATGTTGGACATTGTGTCAGTATTTGTACCATATTCCGGCTTTATCGAGGTCACCGATTTCGTGAAGGAATGTTGCGTATCATCGAGTTTTGTCACTGACTCGGTCTCCTCGTTCTGTGTTTTGTCAAATACTTCTCGCATGCTTTCGGTCGTCTCCGATGCTTGACTCAACGTTGATGTTTCATCAGTACCCTCAGTAACATCCTGGATTGACTGTGCGGATGATAACGTCGCATTGTCATTCAATGTTTCGTTCACGCTGTCACTAATTTCATGATTACTTACTAATAGTGGATTATCTATTATGTTTACAGGAGTAGTAGAACCAGCGTAAGTTTCAGGATTTATATCTTCCTTTTTCACAACAGAATCAGTCACATTCGTAGTTTTGCTCTCTTCAGAAGTTTCAGAGATTTCTTCGTTATTTTTTTCTGTAGCTTTATTTGCACTTTGAGGCTCCACATTCTCGGCCGGCGCATCTGGAACACAAACTGCGGAGTCCACGGAGTTGTCGTTCTCGCAGTCCGGCACAACGCCGCAGATTCCTTTGTCCGCTTGATAGCCCGTGTTCTGTGGGCACTTGAAGATGCTCTGATAGAGTCGATTTCCGTTTGTGTCGCACGCGTAAAACATGAAGCAGTGATCGGGCACGGGAAATCGGCCGCGTCTGCTGCAGTTCGGTACTTTAATGTCATCATAGTATTTGTAATCGTCCGGTCGAATGGTACTAGGAGTTAATTTGCTTGAGTCGTAGTACACGCAACGCTGAAGACGAATATCAAAGATCTGTCTATTTGCACACTGCGCCAGTATTGAGTTGTTGCGCTTACAGATATGATAATACAAAGAACTTTTGCAGTGCGGTTTCAGGATGTTGTTTCCGCACGATCGTCCTTTTTCAACGTGAAGCACTTTGCCACCTCCAGGTACGCCTAGACAACGTCCTTCGTCTTGATCATAGTACTGATTGAGCTTGCAATAGTGTATATTGGTGGGCTTAATTTCTCGTCGATGCCGGGATACTTGTAGTTCAATGGCGTTTTCTTGCAAATTATCAGAGAAGAGAGAGAGAGAGAGAGTGTATTCCTGCAAATAGTTTTTTAATGTAATAGCAAAATCAATATGATGACACAAAATTTGTATCCTTTTATTATTTGGAAAATAAGTATAAATACATAAAAAGTAAATATATTTTTAATTTATTATTTGAAATATTTTTAATAACTTTTTTATCTTTTTAAAACTTACTTGTGTATTATAATTATAGCTATATATTTTGAAAATTAAATGTGTAAATGATTAAATTGATAAATACGTATAATATGATATGCGTAAGAAATTGCTTACCTCATAATTGGTTGATGAATGATATATTGCTACAATTAACAATACGATTCCAAATGGTAGCCAAAGTAAAATCTTCTTGGAAGAAGTCATTGTGCAGAGCAGTTCGTCAAGAACACTGGTTTAACAAATCGCTTCTGTCTTTTACCTTCGCGAAACGATACTTTTAAAAGCCTCGCCAGAGAGAGGTGTGCAGATAGATATATTGTGTCATATCAGAAACGTGACGATTAATAATTTGAGAAATAATAACGTGATGCATCTTTGGTCGACATTGCTTCATTCTTGGAATACATTTGTATTCGTATGCAAAATTCTATTCAAAAATTCTGTGTAAAATATAAGAATTCGTGATAATAATAATGAACGCTGAATACTTCTCATTTTTTGTATTTATATCGGAAGAACGAAATTGCAAATGTGATATACGGAGCAAATTATTCGATGCATTGCAATAATACGTGATGATTTATAATTTCGTCATAAATCATTCAAGGGCGAATGAGTCATAATTGCGGTATTTGAAGTTCGTCACTATTTCGGTTTCAGAGAAACCTGATCAAAATTGAAGACAATAAATAATAATTTAGCACATTTAGAAATAGAAACGGAAATTTATTACTTAATTATATTAACAATACGTAAATTACTTATAAATCTTTATATACAGTGCTTCGTTGAAATGTATATCTACAAGTTAACTTAACCCATTCAGTTCAAGTTCTGCTTATCCATTAAAATATCTAATATTGAAATTAGTTTACATTCAAATATAATTCAATGATGAAATAGGACTCAATTCTAGGATTGTACATCGTTGCTCGTGGCAGAAGCAGAGGCTATACAATTTTTAGCAAAAATTATTATTCATGCGTTGGGTCTGCTGTTTTTCAGTAATCGTATTGTGGCACTCTGTACGTAAAGTTGTTGCTCGTCACGATGTTTATTCCAGCACCATAATATGGCATCACATAGTGTGAACCGTCCGCTGGTCCTACAATTTGCGTAGCTATCAGTATTACATCGGCAAATTGACCAAGAAAGAGAAACCCTAGTGTGCTCAGTTTCAGTAAGCCTAGGGCGGGATATCCAAGGTAAAATCGATCCGCGCCAAACATCCCAAGGAATATGGATAGCAGTAATGCTGTTTCAAAAGAATAACCATTTCTGAAAGCAATGATTCTATAGTAAGTATCTTAAATTGCACGATACTTAAGATATTTATACTAAAAAAAAAACCAATGAATTACTTACGTCCATTTGCAGGGTATATCCTTTTTAAATGTGTTATTTTTTGTTTCTGTGCAGGTGATGCCATCCGCAGCTAAACACAACACTTGCAAAAATACAATGTACATGAAGTTTTATTCAAATTCTCACATTACGGATTTATCAGCATGTGTGAAATCATTGTTTCTAAATAAATAATAGTAACAAAAGATCATAGCAGTCAGATTTTAAAAAATAATAAGAAAAATAAAGGTTCTACTTCTGTTTACAAACTAGGTTTAAAGCAAAACAAACAAAAGATTTGCTCTAATTGCAGATTTATACACTTAACTTCTTTCCTTATATTTAAAATCTGAATATAAATCTCCATTTCATCCTAAATTTACAAAACACTAGAAAATGTAATGAACCAAGTGGACATAAATAAAGCATATCTAGAATTGAGGTTAGAATTTAGAATACTCCAAATATCTCGACCGTGAGTCGGAGCCTACCTTTGGCCTTGTTCTCCTTGGTGCAACCACGCGGCTGTTGCGTTTTTGGATCTATGAAATCGTAATCGGGATGGGGACATATGTACTGCCCCATTCGTAGGTTATTGCAGTCGATCTCGTCCATGCCATCGCACAACGCGATCATCAATACGAGGATGAGCAACCATCTAAGAAGTCGCACCGAATGGAACATATCGTCTCATTTTATATAACGTTATCTCGGCAACCACACTGTCATCCGTATATCCACCGTGTATGCATACACAAAATTACGACACCTCCATCTCTCCCTTATTTTGAACCGAATGTCAATTGGCGTGAAGTGTGAAACACGAATCAGTGTGAATGTACCGATCGTAGCGCTCGCATCCACTAGCGACGTGAACTAAGTAATTTATATGTAGATAATAATTTAATTTGAAATATATAACTTCATATATTTTTGTTAAAGTTCTATTAAATATATTTGTTAATTTTTATCATTTATGTATAAAGCAAAAGCGTATTTTATTTTAGAAGCAAAATCTCTTTAAAAATTTCGATAATTATTTTTGTGAAAGTACATTTTATATTTCTTATATTATTGTTAAATCGTATATAATATTAAATAATCTATTGCTTAATAATACTAACTAAAAACAGTCGATTTTTTAAATGTCAAATAATATACTTGTGTAAAAAAAATAGTGCAAAGTATATTTGATTAATATATAATTAAATTCAGCATATAATTTGATGAAATTTGGATATAAATGTGTGGATTAAAGATTAAAGTGCTTTATTCTTTTAAGTAACTCACATAATTAAAACAATTAAAAAATTTAAAAAATTTTGAAGTCTAATTTCTTTTTTATTAACGTCGTTTGGCCTAAGTATTCAGATGCCAAGTAAGCCAACTTCTAGGATTTTCAACCAGTAACATATTTATGTCACTTTCGGTAAATTTTTTTGCATGCATGTAAGGCAAAATATTCTCAAGAATGTGATAGTATCCATGGCCGCCATAACATTTCTAAAAAAAAAAATCAATAAGATGATTTCTGACGTCTGAATTTATGGAGTCACTTAATAATGCTATTTTTGAATTGTATATCTTCATTGTTATCTGATTCTAATTATTAAATGATTAATTTTTTAGAATTTAGTACCTACGTAATTAATAAATAATAAAGATAGTTAATTAACAAATAATATATTTAAAAATAGGGTAAAGAGTGGTGCACGTTGTTGTTCTCGACGTAATATTAAATGAAATGTTCAAAAGGTACGTACCAATCTATTTTTAGTGTGAATACCATGACTTATTAGAACTCGGTCCAATCTTTGTTCTTCTTTTAATAGTGAGAGTAGTGCAACGCGTTGTGCATCTGATAATATATTCTCTTGCATATCGGGATTATATAAAGAACACTCGGTACCAAACATGGACAATCCAATATAAGTATCCTCCAAATCGAGAAATTCCATGACTTGCTCCTCATTGTTGAAAATACCTATTAAAAATATTTACATTAATTTGATGTAACAATTACAATGTGTAAGCTAAATAGTATTTGCAATATTTAAAAAAATATATATATTATAAAAGATTGTATTTTGATATTTTTATTAAAAATTTTTTAATTAGTGCAAAGAGTTTTAAAAAAATATACTGAGTTTAATAATGCAAAAGTCATTGTTTTTCAATTAAACTCTATTCAAAATAACAATTGTTGTTCAAAATAACAAATATGTTGAAAAGGTGGACAGAAAATCTTTTCAGATAAGACAGAATATAGTAAAACTAGCGGAAACTATCTTGATTGTAAAAAAATTATTTCAATATTTTTTATGTAAATTTAGTTTCGATCTTATTTGACAAATGTGCGATACATAAATATTTATAATACGGTAAAAAAAGAAATTTATAGATCTTACAATCGACATGGGATATGACGGCTTTACGAGCATCTCCTCCGGATTCTTGATAGATTCGTAATATCTCTGAAGGTGCAGATGGATTCAAGCCAGGATTAAAGCTAACAGGGCAATGAAATTCCTGTTGAACTTCACCAGTCGCACTAATGGAACGCCTTTCAAAATCTAAATTATATATATAAAAACATTAATCTAAATTATATATATAAAAACATAACTCTGATTAGATTTATTATGTATTAATTAATTATTTATTTATGGTATTAGTAATTGATATATTTTTTCAAATTTTCTTGCAAATTGTGTTTTTGTTTTAATTGTATTAATTGTATTTCCTACATATTATTTTTTAATCTTTTTTTTTGTTAAAATAAAAATGCACATTTATTTTATTATAAATGTAGAAAACGAAAATGAACAAATCAAACAAGCAAATAAGTGTATATACAATTTCTTTAACAACATTTCTTTCCGAGCGTTTTAATCGTAATATCAGAAATAATCGATAATTATCATAATAAAATAGTTGTAACGTATACCTTGGATTGGCCATGTACTGCCTACTTCGCCAATGAATCCTGCTTTCATTTCGTATTTCTTCAACTCTGGAATCTTGGTGGGCAGACCACCTAAACACCAAGTCATCCATGAAATCATATCTTCTTTAGTTGTTTCTAAGTCTAACGTATTTTGCACCTTTGCAGTATAATATCCTGTCGAATTGCGAGAATATATAATCAAGTAACACGCAACAACATAACCAAGTAACAATAACGATAACGTACAAAAATAAATTGTAAATCAAGTTTGAAGATACAACTAGTCAAATACAAAAATAAGGAGAATAAAAGTTTTATATTTTAAAACTATAGACTTTTTTATTCTTTTACGATTATCATGCAATACTGTGATACATTACAATAATTACACATTATCGTTAATAACAATATATCATATACCTGTTCCAAAAATTATGTTAATTTTTATTTCTTCGCTAATCTGTTTTAACAATAAACGATCGAATTGTAGACCACTGCTGCTATTCTCTACGATGGTACAACCATTAAAGTTTTTGAAGATTTTTAATTCATTTTGCATGTTCTGAATCGTGTCTTCGTCATTAAGTGTCAAATTATACAGACTGCTGTACCTGAAATAATATTTTGCATGTTAAAAATTTTTACTCAACAATTCATTGATTTAAAAAACGCATATAAATTGTGAAAGTAGGCGCTTATACGGATTTTGATAAACAAGCGTCAAATACAATCAAGATAAAATATTGCTGAGCACATAATTTTTGTTAAAGAACATTATCTTTATTATGATTGGGACAAAATTTTTTAAGTATAAGATTATTTAACAACAAAAATATAGCTATTTTAGTGTTAACGGCATTTTTTATCTCTTGATAAAATATTTAAGAAAAACGATTTGTATAAACAAAGTTGCAAAATTGGCAATTATTAAATTTGTAAAGTCACTATTAAAAATATTCATGTTAAATTAGAGTTATTTTTATGCACGTTGTCTTCTCTCGTTCAGCATTATATTACGATCTTAAAGTATTTAGCGCATGTATGGTTAGCAAGTTTTGTGCGAGAGATATTCCAATCTGACTTACGGATATTGATTAAACTGGTTCAAATTCTTAAATGAAAATTTGGCTTGGTAATTTGCAAAAGGGTTCATACACGGAGCTGGCGTAAAACAATTAGTAAAGTTACAAAATATATGTTCGTGTGTTAATGTTATGCCAAGCGAAGATAGCGGTTTGGGTCCTGTTACTGTGAAAAAAATTAAAGATTTGTGTAATGTATATATAAAGTATTTAAAATTATGTATATGACAAATAATTTTGTTCAATAAAAATTCTCGAAATTAATAGAATAATTTCTGAGTGAAGATAATACGTTTGACAAAATCACATTAATTTAAAATAAGCTTGTAAATAAATTAATGGCATTGTTTCTTAATTTTTAATTTTTCTTCAAACTTACCTGTTGATATAGTTTCACTTTCCCAATAGTCATCCATCTTTACGATATTTCAGCAAGGAACTTTTAAAATTTAATTTATATTTTGTGTATTACGATGAATTATAAAAATTTCAAACAGACGTTGTCAAATTCCACGAGCTTAATAAATATATTCGATCTATTACAAAAAGCAGGTAAATGAATACTTCGAACGTCTGCGAGACAAAAACTCGAACTGCTGTCGGGTGTAACGGTATAACACAATGTACATTCCAAAACAAGTATTGTAGTTACAGATTCTCTCGTTGTATATGTAACATATACAAGGTGACATCGGCAACACACCTACATTTACTACAGTGACGACAAATATCAAGGACTGACAAAACCTTAAGCCCGATTCTGTTTGAACGAATAAATCTTTAACACATTATATTTTTTACAAGAACAAATGTAAAGCTAAAAACTAATATTTTATTTTTAAAAAAATTTTAATTTTATGATAATACTTAGGTGAGTGCAAGAGTTCTTCGTGTTGCTTGTACCTATTTAATAACGTTGACTTGATATTTATACAAACATTTTTTTTTTTTACAATCTTTAGTGTTTAAATCTTTTCACTCTAATCTATATTATGTATATATATGTAATCGTGTTGAATTTTTATGAAAGCGCTTTTCCTTACCTCTGCCAGCTTCCCTTTTCCTCCACGTTTTTTCTGCTTTGCTTAATGTCTCGAAGTCAACTACCCATTTTTTTCTACATGTTCAGTACACTCACTTTTTACAACTTGAAAATCGTTATCGTAAGAATTTGTATTTGAAAACCTGCTGGTCAAAGACTATTGTTCAGAAGGGACCGAACGGAAAGACGCGTTGTACGCTCTCTCGTATACCTGCGTGACGCACAGGTATAAGATCATTCGTAGTACGTTAAAACTTCGATTTCGATCTGGGAATTTAAGATTTTAATGATGTTAATGCTTTTGCACATTTTTTATATTGCAAATAAATGTAATAAACAAAATAAAAGTAAAATAAACAATAATAATGCTTGAAAGATTTATTATATTGTTTTATACATCGTGCTTTACATAAAAAAAGTAATATGCAAATTTTCTTTTGTGTGAATTATTATTTCCAGCTTAGCCATCTCTTAGGATTTTCAGTGGTTAACATCGTTGTATCGTTAACTGTAAAATTCCATCTTGACATATGTGGCACAAAGTTTTTCAAAATATGGGCGTATCCGAGACCGCCATAAGTGACCTTAAACATCAGTAGAATATTTTTGAGAGTTAATTGCTCTGATTACTTATAACTGATATTATGATCGTTTAAAATCCAATTATAATTTATATATAAATTGCTTTTTGTTTAACTGCCTAAATTAAAAATAGAATAATAAGAAAAATAAATAACGTATTAAAAAATAAAAATAATAACAATAAAACAAATTTATTTTGTAAAACCATAAAAAAAAGAGATGTACGTACCAATCTATCCTTAGTATGAATATCATGACTTATGAGAATTCGATCCAAGTTTCCTTCATCCTTCAGTTTTGTGAGACGTTTGATACGTTGTGCGTCTGATAATATCTTGTAATACCTATTTCTTATTCGACAGAAAGAATGCTCAGTACCAAACAGATCAAGTTGTACGTAAGTGTGTTTAGTATCGTCCATGAATTCCATAAATTTGTCCTCGTGCCACAACGTGCCTATTAAATTTATATCATTAAGATATGATAATATTTTCGATACGCAACTTAGTTGAACGTAGGAAAATGCATAGCTCTTACGATCAATGTTGGATATGGCCGCTTTTCTAGAATCACCACCGGCCTCTCGATAGAGTCTAATTACTTCCCTAAGTGCTTCTTCCTCAACGCCGGGATTCAAATTCACAGGACAATGCAGTTGCGCTTGAATTTCGCCAGTGGCACGAATAGAATGTTTTTCAAACTCTAACAGTAAATTTAAAATAATGTAATATAACTGCTAAATGTTTTATTTAACGTAATAAAAAATATTAGTTAAACAATTTTATTTCTGAATTTATCATTATTAGAACATACTTTTGAACGTAATTATATAAAATAAAAATTTAAAAAAATATTGTAGAAAATATAATTTCTATTAGATTTCTTATAAATTGATTAATATTTACGATATTTTGCAACACAATTGTGCTCTTATAAATTGAAACGTCTATTGTTTCAATTGCAATTGGTTACATATTGTTTATTCTGTCTCTTTTCATTAACATCTAAATATTTTATTGCATTAAAATGGTAGAAAAACATTAAAAGTATACTAAAATAAATAAACTTGCAGCGTTATTTGTATCTATTTTGCTTGCACTGTTTAATGAGCTTCTTTTTTACTGCAATATCGGAAATAATAGTAAAATATATTTAACAATATAGCAAATTGGTATGTAATTATGTACCGTGGATTGGCCAATTGCTGCCTACTTCTCCGATGAATCCTGCTTTTATCTTATTATTAGAATCGCCAATTTGATAGGATTCTTCTATCTCGTTAGTTAGATCATTCAATAATTTATTGTATATTTCTTCTTGCGTAAAATTAAGGTTTGAGTCATTCTGCACGCTAGCAGTATAATATCCTGTCAAGTTATAAAATAAAATTACTTCAATTCTTGTGTAAACAAATTTACTTAACATTTATTTAACGTTATTATTATTTTATTATTAATGTATCATATTATTAACGTTATAATTATATAAATAGTGTAGTTATGATTATATTAAGTAATTTATTTATAATTTAATTTGTAAAAAATAAAAATATCTTATTGGTTAATAAAAATATTCATTATAACATAAATATTAAATATAAAATAAAAGTAAAAGCTCAAATTTATACGTGTATAATGTAAATACACACACCGTATACTCGTATATATTGTGTAAGCACATACCTGTTCCTGCAATTATATTAATTTCGCATTTCACACTATAATCTTGCAATTTTTTTAAATCGCGACGCAAACCGTTACTAGTATTTTCCACGATGGTTTTACCGCCTGCATTTTTGAATAAGGATAATTCATACAACATAGTTACCATTATATCAGGATCATTGAAACATAAATTATTTAAATTACAATATCTGAAACAAAATGCATTTTGTTAGATATATATTTATTTAATAATTTTTTATACAATATTTTGCATATTATAAGTAAATATTTTATAAAGCTTTTTAATTGTTAACAAGATATTGTTACAAAGAATATTTTGCAAAAACTATGCCAGAATACACTTTAAAAAATTTTAACATACAAATAACTTTATTTATACAAAATTATTTTCGTTATGCTTTAGATGAATTTAGTTCAAATAACTTTTCAACAACATACGTCCCTTTTGTTAAAAAACATTCTAATTAATTTTTGTTAAAGCGTTTCGTGAAAAGATTGTGCAGTTTGCAAGTTATGTTTATATATGCGCATGCTAAATATTTCGTAGAAATGCAATAATAGATAATTTGATTTGACTTACGGAAATCGCTTGCGTATGGAAAAACTGCCAGAATATAAAGGTGCAAAGAAACCATTCTCATGAAACCACGGAACTTCATTATTATATAATTTCTCGAAGTCGCAGGATAGATGTTCATGCGTTAGTGTTGTGCCGAGACTATCAAGCTGTACAGGACCTGTTACTATATATAAAATACAAATAATAAATGCAAATAATGTATACAAAGATGACTTGGAGATCGTAATGAGTAATATTGTTGCATCCAAATTCGCAAATTTTTGCAATAATTTTTATGTAGCTTTGATATTCAGCGACATGATACAGATGTAACATTTTATGAGGAACTATCATAAATTATGCTTTAAGTCATGATTTATCAATAGTATATGTGATTATAAAATTTGACATAATATTTGAATTTGTAAATAGAATATTTTTGACGCATCTTGTACTTTTTAATTTTCCTTTAAACTCACCAGTCTGCACGAGCTCATTGTTGTCGTTACTCATCTTTGCTTTAGTCTTACGTAGAAAAAGTTCAATAATTTAATTATTATTCTATATTTCGTTTTTAGAATCGTAATAATGCAGTAATTTAACGATGTGACGACTAAATGCACGTTCTAACACTTGTATGAATCTAATGTTATTTGCAAATTTCACCGAAATCGTAAATTACAACTATCGCGACACGAAGCACAATATTCTAGTGTTCTCGCGGCAAATAGACGGTAGATACATGTACATGTGTAAATATTTTATTTACAACTAAAAATGAAAACAAACTAGCTATCGAACTCTGTGAAAAATTTGTAATTCCAACAGAAGAGATCAAGCATAATTTAACTTCAAAAAATTGACATAGAAATAAGTATTTTTTATTACGTGAAGAAAATGTAAAATACTGTTGTAGTGATGAAAGCAAGTTTGTTTTCTTTAAATGGAATAAAGTATGTGCTTGAAATGGAATAAAGTATGTGCTGAAAAGAATTCATTTACGAAATGCTGAATTTTATTCCATTTTTTTCAGTAATTTTTACTTCCATTTCTAAATTTCCAATACTCTCTCGTTTACTGGGAAAAAAAACATTATTATATGAGAATGTTTTCTGTCGCATATTTTGTTAAAAAATTATATAATTATCGTCTTTTGTTTTAAAATGTTTAAGTGATTGATAAATATTTTACTTATTTTTTTTTAAACTTATAATTACATTATAAGTTATATGAAATAATATCTTTGTCAAAATGAGCGCTACTGTAAATATGATGATATTTAAATTTTATTTTCCAAATATATTACTAATAATTCATGCAAAAAAAGGGTTGGTTTTTTCGAGTTGTTACACACACACACACACACACACACACATCAGAACTCCCCCTCCTTAAATTACTTATCTAATATACATTTACTTCGCATTCGGTTAGTTTTTCTTGTTGATGTTTTTTTTGCTCTGATATTCTTCGTTTTTCTTTACGCGTGTAATTTCTATGAATTTCATTTAGTCAGTGTGTAAAATTAAAGTATAATTTATATGCAATTTTTTTGAGAGTTTAAAGTTTCAATAAATTTGTTACGTACTTGAATCTCTAGTCAAATTATTTGTAAAAAAATGTTGCTATCCATCTACTTAAAAGTATTAATATATGTTATAATTGCTCTGGCATGAATCACATCGCAGACTAAATTGATATAGCAAAAATATGATATAAATTATTATATATTATTATATTATTATTATTATTACATATCATTATATTATCAGCAATTAATCGCTGATCTCAAACGTTTTTTCAATCGCTCTTAATCTTTCCATCTCGCTTTTAATCTCTTCATGTATAATTATAATTTAAAAAATAAATAATTGTCGCATTAAATACACATAAATAAGTTGTGGAAATTTATCTTACAATCGTATAATTGTCTAAGCTAAAACTTAATAAAAAATAAAACAATTTACTGAAAAATGGATATAATCATAATTAAAAAATATAAAAAAAAAATTCACGAAAAATGTTTTTGAAAGCAAAGAACAAATAAAATTTAAAAAAATTTATCATTGTTTTAAAATTTTGTACTCTATTCTTTATTATCAATGTTTCAACCGATAATTAAACATCACTTTCCAATTTTACCGCGGATGTTGCATTAATGATGATAAAACAATTATGATGCAAATCGAAAACGAATTCCAGGTACTTTTTTATGGCATGAGAGAAACATTGCTTTCGAAAATATTTTATCGCATAGTTCAAACATGCTTTAGTCATTGCGACAATATTGTGCTCGCGTTTTAACAATAAACGAGTTAATTACACCACGGCGTATCCGTAGTATTCTGCAGATTGAGCAACGTCGTTTACATTTTCGTGTATATGTACTTATGATCTCGATGCAAAATTCCATTCTTATATCCACGTGCGCAATTTAGACGAGAATTGAATGTCGTGTACTTATTTGAAAGAAAAACACATTATTCTAAAATTGTTGCTCATTATAGATAAATATAGTTATAGTACTTAATAGCTACGGCATAAACTGTTTACAATTTTTAGAAAAAAAAACAATATCGCATATAAAAGAAATCTATTATTGGCCCCAGCTTAACCAATTCTTAGGATTTTCAACCATCAGTTGTGTGATATCCTCATCTGCAAAACCACTTTCTCTCATATACGGTATAATACATTGACCGATATGACCAAATCCATGACCGCCATACTTTGCCTTAAAATTAAATAAAATAATTTTTGTTTGTTTATTTATAAAATTACTTTAATTTTACAAATATCTTAATAAATTTTGTTTTAACGATTAAATAATTTATGTTCTATATTTGTACTATTAATATAATATTGATGTAAATTAAAGATACGTGTATGACAACAAGATATCACCCGTACAGAATTTGATGTTCTTGCAACGTTGGGACAACGTCCAAATGTTCATAGAAATTTATGTCAGAAAGTCAATGTTTTATGTACTTTAAGTATAATCTGAACATTTAGATGTTACATGGAAGTTATACAACGTGTTTCAACGTTGAACAAACGTTTATATAACGTTGTGTAAACAACGTTGTGTGAACTTTATGTTCTATACGGATAATTAAATAAAAGCAAAATTAAACAACACTGTACAAAAATAAGGATAGCTAATTAAATTTATGATGTGACATCAAATAAAAGAATTGAAAGATTATCAGATTAAAAGACGTACCAGTCTGTTTTTGGTATGAATATCGTGACTCATTAATACCTGATCCAATTTCGATTCTTTTTTGAATTTTGCAATAAATTCGACACGCTCTGCATCTGACAATATAACAGCAGTCGGATCGTGTTGATAGAAAGAACACGCGGTACCAAACATAGAGAATTGAATGTAACATTTGTTATCATCTGCGAATTCCATGAGTTGTTCCTCGTTGGTCAAAGTACCTAATAAGATAATTTTATCAGTTTGTTGCAATAATAGTGTATAGACTAAATAAAAATTACAATGTTCAAAAAATATATTATGAGATCGCATGTAAAATATATTACAATATTATTTTAATTTTAAACTTTATTTTAAGAAATGTATATTTGTAACGCGTGTCTTTAACGTAAAAAAAATTAAGATGTACGAAAATTTAAGGCGCAAACAATTCGTTTTTTAACTAAACCTATTTATCAATTAAACTTTAATTAAACTCGTATTGTAACTCATATTAAATAATTTTTGGTAATGTCTGAAATGTTTCAAAAGTTACACCAAACATTTTTTGAGACTGAAAAAGGTACATATATTAAAACCAACGACAATAATGACTATCTTAATGAGGATAAATTATATCAATGTTTTTTAACTTTATTTGACAAATATATGTTGGAAGCATTATTAACTATAGTAATGAAAAAAAAATTTGTGGATCTCTTACGATCAACGTGACACATAATGGCTTTGCGAGCGTTCCCTCCGGCCTCTTGATAGATACGCATTATCTCCATAGGTGCAGATGCTTTCGATCCGGATGCATTTGATCCAGGACTAAAGCTAACAGGACAATGCAATTTTTCTTGCACTTCGCCAGTTGTAGAAATAGAACGTTTTTCAAAGGCTACAAATTTACGATACAATATAAATACGATATATCATAAATACTCTTCAACATACAACCTTGGGTTAAGAATTATAATTTAAAAAATTATTTTATTTGTAAATGCATTATTATTAAAATATATAATTTTTGAGCAATAAATAAAAGTAAAAAAATGTATCTTAAAAAGTAACTTTGATTAATTTTATAATTAGTTAGTAAATAATATTTAATTTATTAATAATTAAAATACTTTTTAAAAATATAAAATTTGTTCAATATGCACCCTTCTTGTAATGTACTCTTCTTTCTTTTTTTTCAATCAAATAAAATATACATGTATTTTAATTCAATGTTAAAAGTGCAAAAAAATACCTCATCTTGTTTTAATTGTAATATCATAAAAATTATATTAATTATCTTATAAAACGATTAACTGCTTGTATGGATTATCCACAGTTTAACAGATTAAAATATGCAAGCAATGTACCATGAATTGGCCAAGAACTGCCCACTTCGCCGATAAATCCTGCTTTTATTAAGGATGTTTTATAATGTTCACGATCTGCAATACCTTTTTTTAATTCCGTACACATAACATTATACATATTTTCTTTTGACATATTTAAGGTTGATCCAACTTGCGTCTGAGCAACATAATATCCTGTTGAAATTAAGAAAATAAAATAAAGTAACAATAATAATAATACTTAAAAAAAAAATTTACCGATTACGATAATACTCAAAAAACACAATTGAGGCATTGCAAACCAAAACGAATTTAATGTCAAAATTTTCAAAATTAAGTTTAATTAAATTAAATTTGTATTTAAAGTACTTAACTCGCAAAAGGCTTAAATACTTTACTATCTTCTCTATCAGTAATAACATTCGTACAACTCTACCTGTTCCAATAATTATGTTAATATTCTGTTTTAAGGACACATTTCTGTATTTGTCTTGCATGTTAAAACATCTCAATCCATGATTGCTATTTTCCACAATTGTTTTCCCATCATGTTGTCTGAACTGCAATATTTCACTTTGACTAATTATTTTTCCCTTATCCAAAAATTTCAAATTGTTCATATTGCTATACCTAAATCAAAATATTGTATTAAATATTAATATTTTATATAATATATTTTAATAATTTTATTTTAATAATTGAGTTGCTTGACTGTTCATGTTTGGAGCACATATAAAGAAACATTCTTCGGAGATATCAGAGATATTTAGATTGACTTACGGATATAGATTAAGATAGCCGCTACCTTTCAATGTAATTTTTGTATGATCTCTCGAAAGCTCATGCGAATACGGAGCTCGCTTAAAACAGTTGGAAAAATCGCTAAAAAGATGCTCGTGCGTTAATGTAATACCGAGGTCATCCAGCAGTACAGGTCCTGTTACTACACAAATTGTAAATAATGTAAAAAATGTATATAGAAAAATTCTCGAAAGACTACGTTGAGATATTTGAAACTGTAATTACATAATAAAATAATTGTAGTGATATAATTATGACGATAGCAGTGTTGAATTAACTTGCATAGTTGGAAGATTTTCATAAAAATATAATTAGTGTCGAAGCGAGACGAATGATTACTGTAACTATTTGTTCTTTTAATGTAGTTGAAATAATCAGTATTGAATAAAAATATAGTTTTTGATTGAGTTAAACAAATTTAAAATTTAATAAGGACTATCATAAACTGCGCCTTTATATCTGTGAATCGTGATCTATCTATGAATTGCAAGTTATTTATTACAATTTTGAAGCTGTCTCGTGAAATAAATAAAACAAAATTTTAAGACTTTCTTTTAAATAAAAATATAATTTTTGTACGTCGTGTATCAGTTCCTTGTATGAACATGAACCTTCATATGTAACAAAACTTGTAAAAAATGTATGAATTAAACGTATTATTTATATATACTTTTTTTATGTTTTAATTGTCTGCAGATTTACCTGTTTCCACAAATTTAACATCTTTCACAATTTTCATCATTTTCACACTACTTAGAGACAAAGCCTTTTCAATAATTTAATTTATATTTTATATAGTACGTGTTGAATTATATATAATAATGCAACTAAATATATGTTTTAAAATTTAGTAAGATAAATATGTGATAAATATGTTACATTTATTACAAATAGCACGGAAATGTAAAATATATCTGATGCCGAGAAGCCGTAAATTCGAACTGCTGTGGCATCATACTAGAACACTTTCTAACTGACGATACTTCTTGTGAAGTTTGAAACGTGTACACATAGTTCATATTGACGTTAAAAATAAATATTGACATTTATTTGAGTAGCGACAAATATTAACGTTCGACCGAGTCTTTTTATCTAAGTAAATCTATCTAAGAATGATTTTAATGTTTTTGCAAAATTTTTATGTCGCAAATAAATGCAATAAACAAAATAGAAGTAAAATGAACAATAATAATGCTTGAAATATTTATTATATTGTTTTATACATCGTGCTTTACATAAGAAAAATAATATGCAAATCTTCTTGTGTGCAAATTATTGTTTCCAGCTTAGCCATCTCTTAGGATTTTCAGTGGTTAATATCGTTGTATCGTTAACTGTAAAATTCCATCTTGACATATGTGGCACAAAGTTTTTCAAAATATGAGCATATCCGAGACCGCCATAAGTGACCTTAAACATCAGTAGAATATTTTTGAGAGTTAATTGCTCAGATTACTTATAACTGAAATATTATCGTTTAAAATCCAATTATAGTTTATATATAAATTGCTTTTTATTTACCTGCCTAAATTAAAAATAGTTTAATAAATAAAATAAATAACGCATTAAAAAATAAAAATAATAACAATAAATTAAATTTATTTTGTAAAATTATTAAAAAAAAAGAAATGTACGTACCAATCTATCCTTAGTGTGAATATCATGACTTATGAGAATTCGATCCAAGTTTCCTTCATCCTTCAGTTTTGCGAAACGTTTGATACGTTGTGCGTCTGATAATATATTGTAATACTATTTCTCATTCGACAGAAAGAATGCTCAGTACCAAACAGATCATGTTGTACGTAAGTGTGTTTAGTATCGTCCATGAATTCCATAAATTTGTCCTCGTGCCACAACGTGCCTATTAAATTTATATCATTAAGATATGACATTTTCGATATGCAACTTAGTTGAAAGTAGGAAAATGCATAGCTCTTACGATCAATGTTGGATATGGCCGCTTTTCTAGAATCACCACCGGCCTCTTGATAGAGCCTAATTACTTCCCTAAGTGCATCTTCTTCAACGCCGGGATTCAAATTCACAGGACAATGCAGTTGCGCTTGAATCTCGCCAGTGGCACGAATAGAACGTTTTTCAAACTCTAACAGTAAATTTAAAATAATGAAATATAACTGCTAAATGTTTTATTTAACGTAATAAATAAATATTAGTTAAACAATTTTATTTCTAAATTTATCATTATTAAAACATACTTTTAAACTTAATTATACAAAATAAAAATCTAAAAAAATATTGTAGAAAATATAATTTCTATTAATTTCTTATAAATTGATTAATATTTACGATATTTTGCATCACAATTATGCTCTTATAAATTGAAACATTTATTGTTTCAATTGCAATTGGTTACATATTGTTTATTCTGTCTTTTTCATTAATATCTAAATATTTAATTGCATTAAAATGGTAGAAAAGCATTAAAAAGTATACTAAAATAAATAAACTTGTAGCGTTATTTATTCCAATTTTGCTTGCATTGTTTTATTAGCTGTTTATTTACTGCAATATCGGAAATAATAGTAAAATATATTTAACAATTTAGCAAATTGGTATGAAATTATGTACCGTGGATCGGCCAACTGCTGCCTACTTCTCCGATAAATCCTGCTTTTATCTTATTGTTAGAATCGCCAATTTGATAGGATCCTTCTATCTCGTTAGTTAGATCATTTAATAATTTATTGTATATTTCTTCGTGCGTAAAATTAAGGTTTGAGTCATTCTGCACGCTAGCAGTATAATATCCTGTCAAGTTATAAAATAAAATTACTTTAATTCTTGTGTAAACAAATTTACTTAACATTTATTTAACGTTATTATTTCTTTATTATTAATGTATTGTATTATTAACGTTATAATTATATAAATAGTGTAGTTATAATTATATTAAGTAATTTATTTATAATTTAAATTGTAAAAATAAAAATATTTTATTTGTTAATAAAAATATTTATTATAACATAAATATTAAATATGAAATAAAAGTAAAAGCTCGATTCTAAATGTGTATAATGTAAATACCCACACCGTATGATATAGCGTATATATTATATAAGCACATACCTGTTCCTGCAATTATATTAATTTTGCATTTCACACTATAATCTTGCAATTGTTTTAAATCGCGACCCAATCCGGTACTGGTATTTTCCACGATGGTTTTACCGCCTGCATTTTCGAATAAGAACAATTCATAAGGCATAATATTCGTTACATCAAAATAATTTAAACGTAAATTATTAATATTGCCATATCTGAAACAAAATGTACTTTGTTAGATATATATTTATTTAATAATTTTTTATAAAATATTTTGCATAATATAAGAAAATATTTTATAAAGCTTTTTAATTGTTGACAAGATATTCTTACAAAGAATATTTTGCAAAAACTGTGCCAGAACACACTTCAAAAAAGCGTACTTTATCATACAAATAACTTTATATAGACAAAAATATTTCCGTTATGCTTTAGATGAGTTTAGTTCAAATAACATTTCAACAACATACGTCCTTTTTGTTAAAAAACATTTTAATTAATTTTTGTTAAAGTGTTTCGTGAAAAGATTGTGAAGTTTGCAAGTTATGTCTATATATGCGCATGCTAAATATTTCGTAGAAATACAATAATAGATAATTTGAATTGACTTACGGATATCGCTTGAGTATGGAAATAATTCCAGCATGCAAAGGTACAATATAGTTGTCAAAAAAATCTGGAATTTGATCTCTATAAAACTCCGTGAAGTCGCAGGATAGATGTTCATGCGTTAGTGTTATGCCGAGACTATCAAGCTGTACAGGACCTGTTACTATATATAAAATACAAATAATAAATGCAAATAATATATACAAAGATGACTTGGAGATTGTAATGAGTAATACTGTTGCATCCAAATTTGCAGATTTTTGCAATAATTTTTATGTAGCTTTGATAGCGACATTATACAGATGTAACATTTTATGAGGAACTATCATAAGTCATGCTTTAAGTCATAATCTATCAATAGTATATGTAATTATTAAATTTGACATATATAATTTAAATTTGTAAATAGAATATTTGTGACGCATCTTGTACTTTTTAATTTTTCTTTAAACTCACCAGTCTGCACGAGTTCATTGTTGTCGTTACTCATCCTTGCTTTGGTCTCATGCAGATAGAGTTCAATAATTAAACTATTATTCTATATTCCGTTTTTAGAATCGTAATAATGCAGTAATTTTACGATGTGACGACCAAATGCACGTTCTAACACTTGTATGAATCTAATGTTATTTGCAAATTTCATTTGGAAATCATAAATTACAACTATCGCGACACGAAGCACAATATTCTAGTGTTCTTGCGGCAAATAGACGGTAGATACATGTATATGTGCAAATATTTTATTTACAACTGAAAATGAAAACAAACTAACTATCGAACTCTGTAAGAACTTTGTAATTCCAACCGAAGAGATCAAACATAATTTAACTTAAAAAAATTGACATAGAAATAAGTATTTTTTATTACGTGAAGAAAATGTAATACACTGTTGTGAAGATAAAAGCAAGCTTATTTTCTTTAAATGGAATAAAGTATGTGCGTTATCCTAAAAATGAAAGAAACAATATTCACAAATATCCGCTATTAAACATGGTAGCCCAGTAAACGAAAAAGTATTAGAAGTTTAGAAATGGAATTGAAAATTACTGAAAAAAATGGAATAAAATTCAGCATTATTGTAAATAAATTCTTTTCAATAATTTTCAATCCCATTTCTATACTTTCAATACTTTCTCGTTTACTAGGAAAAAAAACATTATTATATGGGGATGTTTTCTGTCGCTTATTTTATTAAAAAATTATATAATTATCGTCTTTTGTTATAAAATGTTTAAGTTATTCATAAATATTTTACTCATTTTTTTTTAAACTTATAATTTCATTATAAGTTATATGCAATAATACCATTGTCAAAATGAGCGTCACTGTAAATATAATGATATTTAAATTTTATTTTTTAAATATATTACTAATAATTCATGCAAAAAAAATGATTGATTTTTCCGATCCGTTACATCAGAATCCCTCCTTGAATTACTTA